CTCCTCTTAATCCCATAGCTATAAGGGACCCCCCCCCACTTGCCTAGTTGGAAGGGACCCCCAAACCCCACCCCCCAAGGTCCTGTAACCCTTTCCAGCTGGTAGGCACCCCCCTGGACCTCCCAGCCCCCCCAGCTGGTAGAACCCCTCCTGCCGGACACCTGGTGCCGGAAGGGGTGCCCCAGCTGGAAGGGAACCCCCTAGACCACCCCAGGACCCCCCATCTAGAAGGGACCCATCTCAAACTCCTGCTCCCCCTCCCCCAGGACCCTACAGCCCCTTCCCCTCTTGGCCTGGGGTTGCAGGGGGGTCTGCATCATGGCATGGGGTGCCCCTAAACCTTCCCATGATCTCTAACCCCTACCCCAAGGCCACCCCCCCACCCCAGGGGCCTGGAGCTGGTGGGGGGCTGGGCTGGATGTGACCCGAATGATTTTTGCCCTCTGCCCCCAGGGACGGGGACACAGACAGCGTGAGCACTATGGTGGTCCATGACGAGGCACCTGGCCCCCACGGACACTTCGGGGGTGAAGGGACCCTGCCCCGGCCCCGGGTGAGGGGGCACTGGGGGGTAGGACAGGGCCCTGGATGCACCCTGCTCTGGGGTGGGGGAGGCATAGCTGGGTATAACACCACCTGCTGCCCACCCCCAGAGCCCAGAAGTGGAGTGTGGTGCCCGCCGAGTCCCCGACACCAATGGCTTCCCCCCCCTGCCCGATGTGCTGCTGCCCAGTGAGGGGCCCCCCCGAGCTGACCCCCCCGGTGACTCTGGCCCTGATGTGAGTTGCTATGGGCGGGGTGGAGGGGGCTAGATTTGGGGGTTCTTGGATTTGGGGGGGGTTGGGTGGACCGGGGTGTCTCATCCTCCCTATATTTCCCCCCCATCAGTACCAGTCACGTGGGCTGGTGAAGGCCCCTGGGAAGGCCTCGTTCACCACCTTTGTGGACCCGGGGCTCTACCAGGCCGGGGGGGACCCCCTACCCCTCATCGGTGAGTCTGGGGGGATTGGAGGGCAGTATCTGGGTCCTTGGTGGAGCTGGAGGGTGGGGAATGAGTCATGACCATTGGGGGGGGCTGGGAACGATAGGGTTAATGACCCCTGACCTCAGGACAAGGGTGGGCTGGGTCTTGCCTTGATCTATGACCCTTGATCTTTGGTCTCTGGCATGGCTGTGGGGGGCCGGGGAGCAGGTCCTAACCCAAGTGCAGCTGTTGCTGGGGTGGCTTTGACTCCTGACCCCTGATCTTTGACTCCTGACCCCTGACTTTGGGGTGGGGGTGGGCTTGGGTTCACCCTTGACCCGAGCACAGCTGCATGGGAGGGGTGTGGGGGTGCCTGACCTTCGAACTCTGCCCCCCACAGGACCAGGCCGAGCATGGCCAGGGGTCGAGAGCCGTAAGGGCTCGGTGGTGAATGTGAACCCAGCCCCCCCACGGCCCCCCAGCGACGCGCCCGAGATCCGCAAGTACAAGAAGCGTTTCGGATCTGAGATCCTCTGCGCCGCCCCCTGGGGTCAGCGGGGGGCTGGGGTCATGGGGTTCTGGGGGACTGCAGGAGGGGGGGTCCTGGTTCCTGCAGCCCCCCTGATGGCACCGTCCCCCTGAGGGATCCGCAGGTGTGAACCTGTTGGTGGGCACGGAGCAAGGGCTGCTGCTGCTGGACCGCAGCGGGCGCGGGCGTGTCTATGGCCTGGTCAGTCGACGCCGCTTCCAGCAGATAGACGTGCTCGAGGGCCTCAACCTGCTCACCACCATCTCTGGTGAGACCCCTGCCGCCTCCTGTGACCTCCCCAGTACCTCCAACCTACTCAGCACCATCTCGGTGCTGAGACCCTCCGCCCCGGCCCCCCCTCAACTGTCCTCCCCCCCGCAGGGAAGCGCAACAAGCTGCGCGTGTACTACCTGTCTTGGCTGCGCAACAAGGTGCTGCGCAATGACCCTGAGGTGGAGAAGAAACAGGGCTGGGCCCCCGTTGGCGACCTTGAGGGCTGCACCCACTACCGCCTGGGTGAGCCGGGGGCGGCTAGGGGCTCTGGGGGTTATCTGGAGGTCATTGGGGGGCTCAGGGTGCAGGGCTGCCCCCCCAGTGGTGGTGATCTTGGGGACTGCACCCACTACCACCTGGGTGAGCCTGGGGTGCTGGGGGGTTACTGGGGGGTACTGAGGGTTACCAGGGCCAGGGCTGAGCCCCTGTTAGTGACCTTAGGGGCTGCACCCATTACTGCTTGGGTGAGGGGAGGTTGGGGGGGACTCAGGGTCACTGCAGGGGTCTGGGGTCAACAAGGGGTTCAGGGGGGACCAGGAA